AAATTATTTACATATTATTACTTATATTTTTTTAATGAAAACTGATTGAAGGATAATTTTTCCATGGGGTCACATGCTTAATTGTCAATATTTCAATCATTCATGTGCTCCCATGCTAACATGATACCATGTGTTTCTTTTGATTTTTATTTTTGACGAGAGGGCTGTAAGGCTTAGCAATAGCATTTCACTGTCCAATAAGTTTATCGAGTTCGATTTTTTTTTTTTTTTTGGAAAAGGGTAATTTTAGGGGAAAGGAAAAGGGAATGACCTAGCCAATGAGTTGGGAGAAGCACTTAAAACTCATAGATCAAATACAAATATTCAAGTAGTTGGTGAAGGGAATGTCACAGCTCATAGGTTAAGAGAAACACCTATAATTAGTACATCAAATACAAATATTTAAATAGTTGATAAAACTTGAATTTCTAACTAACTCAATTTAAATACTGAAACTTGGAATGAACCATTAGACTTGAAAGCTGGTTTCATCAAGTTTGAGTTTAAGCTCAAAATAAAGTTAAAATCATTGATTCAAAGCTTAGAACTCCATCCTAGCCTATATAAACTTCCTAAATTAAGACTCGGGTCATCTCCACTGGCTTGCAAGTTGCAACCTTACAAGCAAAGCCCACGCAAATTTGGAACATTTTACGCCCATAGCCTTTTTGGGTCATCAGACAGACTAACAGTAACAGGCCAGCTTCAATCTCAATGGGAAGAATACTTTAGACCCAAAGTTTTTATGGGGGTAAGTTTCTAAGCCCATAGATGACAGACTAACGGGCCGGTTTCAAATTTGGTCGGAAAGACAGCGGGAGGGAGGTGAGTCAACGACTTCTAGGCGGATATGGCGTCAAATCAAACAAAATCAAGGCTAACATGTATGAAAATATCCAATTTTCAGGCATACAAATACAAACATAGTAATTTTCGATCTCAATTCTCAACCAAGGACGAACATCACCATCTTTTTACTTCATTACAGCCTTAAACCAGGTTTGTTCCTGATCTGCATTAGTGCTCATTTCTTGTTCCTTTTAATAATAAACTCCTGGGGATTGGATTTCCTTCTCTAAAAGGGTTTAAATTTGGGTAATTTTGTTTCATCTTGATTAAACCCATGATTTGTATCTTGTGTTTCTTTAGATCTTTTTGATGGGAGAAGATGGTGGCCAAACATTTACTGTGGATGATGCTCTTCTTGCAATGGGATTTGGGAAGTTCCAAATTCTTGTGCTGGTTTATGCTGGCATGGGATGGGTATCAGAAGCAATGGAAATGATGCTCCTTTCTTTTATAGGGCCTGCAGTGCAATCTTTGTGGGGTCTTTCTTCTCATCAAGAGAGCCTCATTACCAGTGTGGTCTTTGTTGGCATGCTAATTGGAGCCTATTCATGGGGTGTGGTCTCAGACAAACATGGACGAAGGTACCCCTTTTCTTATATCTTGCTGTCTGTCTATGGTCATTGCTTTGAAGTAGCCTTTACAGTAATATAATTAACTGAATTAGACCTATCTAGTGTCTAGTTGTATTGTCCACTGCTCTGCTGGTGTTGCAATTCCTCCAATTGGGTAAACATTATGTGGAGTTAGTTTGAGCTTTATCACAAACAGGATGAGAAATTTAAGGACTCAAAGCTTCTGTCTTTTATAGCTTTTTTGAATCTAAATATTTTGTTTCAAAGGTATAGAGATCTAGTCCAGTTTGGATCTTGTGGTGAGGCCAACTCCTCAATTGTATAGCATTATGTGCTTTTTTTGGCTAAACCTTTCTCTAAACTACATTTGATACACCTCCTTATTACAGCAACTGTTGTGTTTTCCTTTTCCACTTTGTTAAATTTGTTTACTTCTATTCCTACAGGAGAGGCTTCCTTATCACAGCAATAGTAACAGCTGTAGCTGGCTTTCTGAGTGCCTTTGCTCCAAATTATATTTTATTGATTATTTTTCGTTGTTTTGTTGGCCTTGGTTTGGGAGGTGGTCATGTTCTTGCGTCCTGGTTTCTAGAGTTTATTCCAGCTCCGAACAGAGGGACTTGGATGGTTATTTTTTCAGCATTCTGGACTGTGGGAACAATTTTTGAAGCTTCACTTGCGTGGGTATACCCATTATGATATTCTTATTTCTTTTCTAGATTTAAATATTTTCTTCATCTTACATTCTCTCTGATGCATATTTAACATTTAGAACCATTAAGCTGAAGGGAATTATGCTTTCTTCTTGTAATTTTTAATGCTTCTATGAGATGGAACATAAGACTATTGATGTTGTAAAATTAGAGAACTTGCTTTTCTTAATTTGATGAAGTCCATCACTCAGCATCTTTGTCTCTGGTAAATCAAATTCCTTCTATTATTTCATGCTCTTTTATTTTTTTCTAAGTTCAAAAATATGAGAATGTCACGAGGCAAATGATGCTATTGCTCCATTTCTGAAAAAAATTGTCCAAATATGCACTGCATTAACCATGATTGTTTGGTAGTTGTATGGGGTGATTGAATGTTTTGTCCCCTTGGGTAATGCAAACTAGCACCATACCATTGTCCATTGACCTTCTTATTGTCCCAAACAATAGTGACTTTATAATTACAATAGCATCTCAAAGTTGAATAGATGAGTCAGCTGCTTTAGATTAAGTGACTCATTCAGACCAAGAAGTTTAGTTACATTCATTTTTTATTCTCATCCATGTGTTGCTTTCATTTCAGTTTGTCATGCCTAAGTTGGGATGGAGGTGGCTACTTGCATTATCTTCACTCCCTTCATTGCTTCTCCTTCTATTCTATGGAGTGACACCTGAGTCACCAAGATATTTATGCTTGAAAGGTAGGAGAATTGATGCACTTAATGTTTTGGAGAAAATAGCAAGAATAAATGGGGCAAAATTGCCTTCTGGAGTTCTTGTTTCTGAACATGAAGTTGAACTTGAGGGCAGGAGTATTCTAGCAGAGGATACACATTTGCTTTCAACAGGGAACAAGGAAGATGAAACTCACAATGAGAGAGCTGCGGGTGGTTTCTCATCACTATTAATGCTTCTTTCACCTGAGTTAATTAAGTCAACCTTGCTCCTATGGGTTGTGTTCTTTGGAAATGCGTTTTCGTATTATGGCCTGGTTTTGCTGACAACTGAGTTGAATAATGGACGAAACAGCTGTCATACTAATGCATTACAATCAGAAAAATCCCAGGATGTTAGCTACAGAGATGTTTTCATCACTACTTTTGCTGGTATTGTTTTTTGCCTGTTTCAATTGTAGTAATTTTTATGCCTCCCTGGATCTGCTTACTAACATTTAGCTTTCCCTTTCCTTTTTCTTTGCTTCAAGAGTTTCCTGGGCTTCTCTTAGCTGCAGCCACAGTGGATAAACTTGGTCGTAAAGTTTCTATGTCATCCATGTTCTTCCTCTGCTGTATTTTCCTACTACCCTTGGTATTCCATGAGTCTCGGGGCTTAACAACAGGACTTCTCTTTGGTGCTCGAATATGCATCACCTCAACCTTCACTGTGGTCTATATATATGCTCCAGAGGTAAACCATAGAATTCAATTTTCTATTTCAAGGTCAAAGGAATTTTTGTGTTCTGCTTAAAAGTCACTAGTTAGGGTTATTTACTTTTATGTTTTTTAATAAGAGACAATAATTAAATTTTGGAAGAAACATAACCTCTTCCCTTCATGTTTGATGCAATAACATTTAAAAAAAGTGAAATAAGTTGCAAAAAAAACTTTAAAAATAGAGGAAACATGCTTCTAGACTGATAATTGTCATGTCACCTTAAAAATTCTAGGGTATTTTAGCATGCACAATTCTAATCATGCATTTCACCTTTGAGATCCTCTTTATCTACTTGTAGCCTCTTTCACTTAAACAAGTTATGTAGCACTTACAATCATGTTAAGGTCAGGAAGTTGAATGTTTAACTTGTGTTTTTCTTTGGATGGAAAATTATTTCAGTTACGATCCAGAAATGATATTTCTTTTGTTTATAATTGTATCTGTAGATTTATCCAACCTCAGTCAGATCAACTGGCGTTGGAGTTGCGAGCTCAATGGGAAGAATTGGTGGAATGATCTGTCCTCTAGTAGCAGTAGGTTTAATTCATGGATGTCATCAAACTGCTGCTATTATACTCTTTGAGATTGTCATTTTTGTGTCAGGAATCTGTGTATTGCTCTTCCCACTTGAAACTACAGGAAGAGAATTGACTGATAGCATCTCTATTTCAAAAGAAACCTCAAATTAAGTTTACATACAAAGTGAGGCTTGCCTGTTATGTATACCACATCTATCATACATGGAAGTAGTTAGACAACAAGAATTTAATTTTCATTCTTCTTTGACTTTTATCTTAATTTTTTTAACATTCCCTGTACTTAGAAGCTAATTTTGCTGATTATTTCTCAAATACACCATAGCTCTTGAAATATATTGGCACCATAAGGTTACCTGATTTGTACAGCTGCTTGCTTTTGCCTCATTGTTGGATCATTTACATCATCTATAGGAAGGAAATAGGATTTATATCTTCCTTTTTTTCTCTAGCAGTTTTGTGCCTTTTCTTATTCTCAAGTGCATTTGCCTAACAGCTGGTGAAATAAGTATGCTACTTGGACATTTATGTGGATTTCTCAGGGTTTGCAAACATTCTCAAGCCTTGCCCTGTCCCTTCACATCATAGTCCATGGTGACAACCTGACCATATTTGCCTGTGTCATCCCCTTCTTTATCAAAGTAGTCTTCTCTGGCATTGTTTGTGAGCATTAGACAGATCACCCAGAAGAGAGAAGCACTGAAGGTCGTGAAGGCTGCACCACGAAAGAGAACTGTCTTGGCTGTGAGGAGATTTTGTGTCCATGTCTTGATGGACATTGTTAGTCAAGTGATTCAACTCAGTGATTGTCACCCAGGACAACATCCCTCCAGCCACCAGGGACAGCAACTGAGGACAACATGGTAATGTTTTGTGTGTGAGATGAGAATGTATATAGATTGCAGAACTGAGGAAGGTTATATTCACACAGTGGTGTGGAAACACACAAAAAATGCAGTGTTTTGAAAGAAAGCATGTAGCGGAACAGATTTTCCATTATAAGGATAAAAACACAGAGATGAATCTGACCACAACAGATGCTGCAAATGATTTTATTGATATAAGAAGCCTAAAACAACTGTTGGATCTGGTGGGCACTTGCATACAATATATCCTGCTACTGATGTTATTGGAGTTCCAGATGCAAGCTGTAGAAGAAACAGAAACATTTAGCACAGAAGGAAGAAGTTTTGGTTGCTTAACCACGAGAGAAATTAACGCAATGGTGCAGGATTAAACCTTGTTTTCAGCAACGATTTGAACTAAGATGGATATCAGACCAAAAAAAAAAAGACTATGAAGGCCATTTCTCCCGTACCAATGGCCATCTTCTAAGTGAAGGGCATACTAATGCAGGTCAGTTTCGTGCAGGTATCAAGAAAAAACGGGTATGTGGTAGAGAAACATATAAAACTTGCTACATATTTATCAGCTTCTCAGCATCACTAGTCAAAGATATCATCTCAATGCTTGTCTTTCTTTTCTCTGCTTTTTCTGTGGAAAAATCGTTGTTCTGTCTTATTTGAACAAAAATGAAAGGCAAAATCTCGAAACCGTAGAAACTTTGTCCAAATCTCCAAGGTTATCCTGAGTAAGATCATGTCTTGATAAAATTCCAGGAGACCCACCAAAGTGTAAACTTGCTAGGCATTTTATACTTTCCAGCAGGCATGGAGTTTGCTATCATTTATTACTGGCTCAACTGAATAAAAAATTCTTTGTTGCAATGGATACTAGGTCAGCAGTATTCCTAATCAATACAGAGCTAACACATTGGAGATTCTCGTAACTGGTTTCGTGTTAAAATGTTCAAATTGTATAGAGGTGCCATTTCCTTCTTATTGATTGAGATATCAGTTGGAAACTTTTAATGTGATATAACCGTTGCACTGAAGACTTCTCCAATTAGATCTTCTTAGTTTTCAATGTTGCATTGAATTTTGTTTCTTCTTGCAGATGAATTCTCCAAAATCATCAACTCTAATAAAGAGATATATCTTAATATCAACTACTTGTTAATTGAGTAGAATATGTTTGATTTATTTTAAATAAAATCTTAAATTTGTGATTTTTTTTATAGAGAAATAAGTATTGAGAGATTTTTTTTTTTATGGAGTCTTATATAATCGAATTTTAAATTAGTTGAAATTTAATGTAACTGTTAAATATCAAAATATTTTGAAAAGAAAAAAAAGATCTTAATGCTGAAATGATCTTGAGGGAAAGAAAGGCAGCAAGCCAGCAGGAAATAAAAAAACAAATAGACAAATTCGAGGCAAAACAATCCGGATTCAGCAAACGATACAATAATGAAGACATGTTTGAAAGAGTTGGGTTTTTACATTAGTGAAGTGGAAAGTCAGGTATTGTATCATAAAAAATCAATCCCAATTTGACGAGACGAAGGACTAATCGGACGCAACCAAAACATATTACCCTTCCTTTACATTAATAACCCACATACTAGGCTGTGTTTGGCTGCCATGACCCCAGAAGAAGATAGGGGAAATGGCTCAATGTGATCGTAGCCGGCAAACTCCAAATTCTGATTTTAGGTGTTCAGTTATCTAAAGAGATGTTTAATCGACCAAACCCCACACACTTAGCCGACTTAAGTATAAAAATCACATGTAATTTTCCCCATATTCTTTTGCCATGAAAGGTGAAAACCAAACAAGCGTGTAGGGAATACATGGTTCAACTTCAACCTCTGTGTTATCATTACTTCCAGGGACTCCACTCGATACAGATTTCTTATTTGGAAAGACCACAAAATGTTGAACTTAACTATTGAATTTGAATACCCTCTCGACCATAGGGACTAAAACAACACACTTTTTTGTTTGGAGACATTATATTATTGAGTCCATCCTTCGGGGACCATTTACTAAATTTGATCCCAAAAAGGCACAATTCTGTGAGAATACTTTACCACGCGTGGTAAAAGAATAATATCATCTATTAAAATTAAATTTAGAATTTAAGTTTTGATTTGTTTATTTTATTTTATTTTATTTTTTTGAATAAAATGGTAAGCGTGAGATTCAAATTTCGAATCCATCGGGGGAGGGGAACTACACCTTTAAAGTGATCCGAACGTCACTTGACTCGAAGGGTCAACTGCAAGTTTTGATTTGTTTATTTAATATTTTAAAATAAAATAATGATATAAAGATAAATTTTATATTATTTTTTATATAATTTTTATATGTCACTAAATGAGTTGATATATTTAATATCATGGGTCTTAAATAAATAAAAAAATTAATCATTTAAATGATAATAAGATTGAAAAAAATAATTAAAAAAATTATTTTTAAATTATTTTTCTTTAAAATATATTAAATTAATATAAAATACATTTTAAAGGTATTTAAAAAAATTAAATTTGAAATAAATAAAAATTATTCTAAAAACACCATATTTATAAATTAATATTAAAAAATATATTAAATTAATATAAAAATACATTTTAAAGGTATTTAAAAAAATTAAATTTAAAATAAATAAAAATTATTCTAAAAACACCATATTTATAAATTAATATTAAAAAATATATAATATCCCCAACAACCCCACAAGTCCAGCAGTAGAAACGTTCATTTGGTTTGATAAATGAGGAAAAAACAAAAAAGAAAAATTAAAAACACATCTAAAATTTTTTTTATTATATAATTTAAATTATGATTATGAGGCCTCTCCATCAAATAGTTAAATTTTTACGATCTAAAATGATTCCACTATAAAATATTTTTTCACTTTT